GCCAGGTAATTAGGAGATCTGAAAAGTTTCCTTGACCTGGATTTTTGATGGTTATTAAAATACGGATCCAGAATAGCAGTGGAAGGTAATCCTAAATGTACAAATTCAGTGGAAAACAAAAGAAAAATAAAAGAGTGGAAGAGGAAGAGACAAATATTTTGGCAAATGTAGGGGAAACCTAAGAATTAGACAATTTAAAGACAATGACAAAGAGTTGGAATGATAGAGTAATATACAGAAGCAACTCTTGGGCAAAATAGAAAGGAAAATAATAAAATTTGGACGGTACTAAAATGAGATGTTCTGAAATCGAAAAGAGAGGACTTGAGAAATACAAGGGCAAAGGCAACAACACTTCCTCTTCTATTTTGACTTTATTCTAGCGCTTTTAGAAGAATATTACAATTTATAATTTTGAACATACCTTGTAAAATAGATCATTACTATTGGCAAGGAAAAACCTAAACACAAACAGTGAGGGATAAGAATTAGAACAAAAATCATCAAAACTTGACTTTCAATGCCCTTGTACATACAGCCATCAGACAAAGTTGAGACAAAATTCTTTTAGAGGCAATTCTACGATCTATTTTACTATTTAACAAATTGGGGGCACATTGTCAAGGAGGGGTCTCCTTTTATCTAAGAAAAATTAAAATCATAATACAAATGAAAATTCAGTTAGTTTGGTCCTTATGAAATTGTCTATATGCTGAATTAATTGAGTAAAATGTAAAGAAATGTCTGCTTTTCAGAAATTATCTGAGAATTCCAGAAATAACAACATTTTTTTTTAAATCGCTGTTCTCATAACTGTACATTTTTTGGCACATAGCATACTCAAGTTTAAAAAGATTTGACTGCAATCTTTGGAGACAACTAATCTTAACAGGCAACTAGAATAATTCGTAGGTAGAAGGATTCACAGAATTATCCAGAATTCCTCAAAACCAAAGAGAAGACTCCTTTTAGATTTGTGACACCAGGGTACAGCTCTCCACTAAGAACGTTAAAGTACAGCAAAGCACATCTCTAGAAGATATAAACAGAACTTCAGTTAAATGGAAGGCTTGGCTAACCACAGTTCAGTAAACCTGAGTTGCAGTGTAATCTGATAAGGAACAAACAGCATGGATTCCAGAAGTGTAAACCATGTGTCCCTAACACACTAGAGTTCTTTGAAAGAATTAATCAAAAAAATGGATAAAGAAAACCATATATATAATTCAGAAGCTTGTTTTTTAAAAATAAAGTTTCTCATAAGAAGCTACTGAGAAACTTTAATAACTGTTGTAGATTAAAAATTGATTAACAGACAATAAACCAAAACCAATATGGAAAGTATCCAGAAATTAATACTAAGCTAGTGAAAAAGCTTAAAGACCTAAAAGAAGCATATGTGGACAGAAAGGTGAAGACTAAAAAATTGCCAGTGACATAAAACTATCCACTGTAAAGCCTGAAAGTCTTTGCTAAGGTATGATGAAATTCCCTCTTCACAAAGTAAAAACAATACTTAATGTATAATGATAGGATCAAAGTTAATAGTTTAAAAAACAAAAAAGATTGGTAAGATTTGCCAGAGTGAGAAAAAGGATAGAATAAGAGAAGATATGATAAAGATTGATAAAATAATGAATGGCAAAGAGAATGCCAACTGGTGCTGTTTGTTTACTTTTTCCTTTATGAAAACACAAACTTTATGTAGAGCTTTATGATAATAAGATTAGAACTTAAAAGAATACATTTTATGGACCACATAATTAGCCCACTGAACATGCTATCACAGGATATCAATAAGGCACGTATGGCTCTCAAAAACTTCAGTGATACCAAAATATGACTAGTAAATATGGTAAAAACTAAAATGGAGCACACAATTCATGCTTTAGGGTATTAACTAGGCAAGGCCAGGAAGGAAGTTTCCTTTCCAATTGCTGTAGTATTCAAGATGATTTATGATTTTAGCTTTTAAGTATTGCTAATTCCATTTTAGAGTCCAAGTTATCTTATTCAAAAAAATCTTATGCCATTTTTCCAGATATACTCTTCTTTCCTATTTTTCTAAATAGCAAAGCCTTCCATTTTCACCTAATTCTCCTTCTACTTCATTTATCCCAGCTTCAAAATATTGCCTAAGAAGTGATAATGAATAAACACTAAACCATATATTAAAGAATACATGTTTGGGAATAAGTTCTATAATTTGTTAAATTTTCCTATCTTCTCTAAGTAGACAAAAATTAAAATTCATACAATAAATTGGTTCTGTTCATAGTCTGTTCATATCACAAAATTAAAATTTGAGTTTGGATGCTAAGATGGATCACATTTAAGAATATTTTAACCTGTGTCCAGTAGCTACAGCAAGAATTGTTCTTTTATATGATAAATTTCAATCAATAAGCAACATCATTTTATGGAGTAAGACAGTGGAAAGACCATTAAAAAGGTACAGCCCTCTAGGTTCTGTCTTTACTATGGGGAATGAGCAATTGGTCTATGAAATGCTATGGCCCCAGTCATTTCATGTATGAATGAGTTACAGGCAACATTCACAGCCTGAAAGCCTAAGAATTTGTGTCTGAAAAACTTGGCAGATCAGTAAAAAATATGTTAAATTTAAATTCTTGAAAATGATAAAATTATGTGTGGATGAGGCCAAAGTGATCAGGAGGCAGGTTTACACCTTGTGTCCATTTTGTAATCCAATCCTCTCCATTTTGGGCTTAGCAATAGGGTGCCACACGTGGTGTAAGGCCAGCCATAGCATTCAAGCTTGACTGAATTTTAAAAGTGACACAGTAATCAAATATGCTCCAAGGGCATTCCAGAATTTCAGGTGCTGCTGACCATTAAAATCAACCTTCTTAGTGCTTACTTCAATTTAAACAGGATGTAAAGTACAATCCTCACGTCAATTAAATACAAGCTCATATACTTCATCTATCAAAAATTAGAGCCCAGAATATATCACTTAAAAAAAGGTATTATGTGTATCTAAGTAGTTATGCAATACCAGTTAAAAATAAGCAGATAATCTTCTAAAATATAGGATTTATGTATTTCTTCCAGAGTATAAAATAAGAATTTGCTTTAGAATGCCAATAAGGCAGTATCTACTCTTTCTATGAAATAGAAAGCTAAGCAGTAGAAGCCCATGTATGGTATTTCATTTGGGAGACAAAAGAAGAAAGGCATATTTCAAACAGATGGAAAGTGAAATATAATAAAGTTATACTTGCCTGCATTAATTTTCCTTCTGCTGGAGTTATTTCAGCAACACCAGCAAACACACCTTCCAAAGTGAGATTCAGTTTTCCTGTGGGGTCCATTTTCAAGGGGATCACTCTGATAATAGCTTTCTGTTCTGCTGATCTTTCAGACTCCACCGCTGCTGCCAGCACCAGTCCTGTGCGTCCAAAGCCTGCCTGCAGGGTAGCCATCAGCAGCCAGGGCCAGAGGGCAGCCAGCTGCAGCTGGTGGCCACCACTCATGCTACCAGCTGCAGCAATGCACTTCAACCATACATACTGCTTCCACTAGCTAATACCAAATGCAGGTTCTCAGATCCAGACAAATGGAGGAAAAGAACATTTATGCTTCAGTTTCAGAAAGCCAAGTCGTAGTTTTGGCCCTTCCTTTCTCTAAAGTTTATTCCCAAGAGCAGGTGGCATTCCTGATTGGGCAGAGAAGAGGATATTTTCAGCCCACATCTGCGGCAGGTATGTCATTTTCTCCCATCTTCACTGTGACTAGTAAAGATCTCACCACTTTTCTTTGGAATTTCCAACTTTGCTCGTGATTGAATGTCACATCGTGAATTTGTATTATGTCAGATCACTTGGCATTGCTCTTCCATATGCATCAAGTTGCCAGGCACTAAACCCAATGTTCATGAACAAAACAAGGCAAAGTAAACAGCTACGGCCATGCATCAAAGGTGAGAGTGAAGAACTCCAGCTCAGAAAAGGAAGAGATGGCCCTTTTTAAGCCATAATATGTGTCAATGGTAAATGACTAAAAACCACAAGGAGATTTTTTTTTTTTTAATGGAGGAGAAGAGGGAACAATAAAAATTTCAGGCCACACGTTGATGTCCAAAGATGCTACAACATGTATTAGAAAAATTTCCACATTAAACTGTATTTCGGTGTAGCCAGGGTTCTAGGCCCACTGCATTTACATACTTTTCATGAACTTAGACATACCATAATTTTTTATGTTTTACCAAAATTTGCCTATAAATTAGGTGCTAATTTATGTATCTTCACACATTACAGGATAATCCTGGGCATCACAACCTTTTCCAACTTTCATAATTAGAGTATTTGAAAAGGTTAGCTTTCCAATTATTTTTCCAGTTAAAATTCATATTTCTATCTCCGTTTTCTTTTCTCTCTTAAGGATTCTTGATTTTATTCTCCAGCTCGGAAATGCCGAACACTTTGATTTCCCATGAGATGCTTTTGGAAACTACTTTAATATCCAGATTTTATGATCTGTAATTTTCTAGGTTCATAAGAAAAACAAAGGACTATTCCTAACATGTTTTCCTTGAGGGGGTGGGGAATAAAAGGTAGGGAGAGCAGGGAGGCGATTAACCACAGGCTCTAGGTAGAATACCCTGAAAAAATACAAATAAGCTTGAGTAGAATAAATCTGTGCTATTTCCAGGCACTATGAAAATTTGGGTCTTTGTACAAACACAGAATAAGATTTTTAAAATGTGCACCCTTAAGTAAATAGAAATACACTTCACCCACAAAGCCCTCTGTGTTCCAAGGTCAAGTTTAAAAATATTATAAAGTCTTCAGAACAAGTGCTGAAAAGCCAAGCAATTGAACAACATGAACCTGTTATATAGATTCGTTTCTTTTGCTGAGGCAGAGGGAGGGGAGAAAAAAAGAATTTCAAAAGAAATCTGCAAACCTGTTGCGCTGTCGGGCCCACTGGAATCCACGGGGGTGAAACAAATTCAATTATGCTTTTACAGATCCTGCTCAAAAAAGGTTTCAACTGCTTAACCAAGTACAGCTCATTCTTCCACCTTCTTACTCTGCAACCAAACAAAGTGCCCCATACTACAGGTAGGTGCCGAGAAATTCCGCAGCCTGAAAAAATAATCCATGCAGGTCAAAGGCAGAAATTTACTCCAGGATGAGAGATGCTGTCCCCAAGAACTAGATTAAACACTTACAGAAAATCCAAAATCATTTCTGAAACCTCCTTTCTAATAAAAGTTCTTTTTTTCTCCAAACAGCATATAAAATGACCAAGTCTTGAAAGAGAAAAGGAGCAAAGTAGCAAATACATCAACAATTCACTATCAGAAACACAGAAAATCCCAGAGAGAGAAGGCAGTATCTCTAAATCATGGATGGACTTGGAAAGTTCGGAAGGATTCGAGTGCTTCCTTTCAGAAAGACAATTCTGGATCAACTCCCTAGAGCAGGAAGCCTGTGGTTTGTAATTGGTGTTCTAGCTCTGACTCCCTCCCCTGGGACAGCAATCACGCTCTCTACCTGCTGACAAAGTGAGGGTGGAGCTGCTAGAGGCAACCACCCCCCACCCTGCCCCCCTCCTCCTGGTGCGCACACACAACACTTACTTAACCAGACACGTTCTTTTGCTCTCTCCCCTCCCTCAGCTCCTCTACTCCCTCTATTGAGCCACAGCTAAACTGCATCCAATTTGATCCCCAGTACCTCTCTCTGGTACGCAAGCTACCACATGCAAATCAGGGCCACTCAAACATATCTAAGCAGACTCTGCACCCAACAGAGCATAGATGATGGTATGAGGAAATAAACAGAAAAAAATAAAGGTAATCCAGAAAAGAATGGACACAAGGTTTTGCAAATATAAATTCAAAAGGATTTCTGCTCATTCCAAGTTTGAGTGTCTATAAATGGCAGAAAGCCAGAATGAAGTGATCCTGTGCTTTAGTACTTACTGATTTACTGCTACTTATGTCTGCTACCCTGGGAAGGGCTCTGTCCATTTTATGCTTAGCTTTTCTTCAGCTCTTACTAATTTAAATTCAGTAGCTCTGTCTAAACTGTGCCTATATGGAACTTTCAAATCAGGGTCATATCAGAGGTCTGGAATCCAACTGTTACATTCTTTTCAATCTTTGAGAGGTGAAATAATACTATGGATCAGACCTATGCCTTCAATGTAAGACTCCAAATAAGTCCATGTCATAAATACAAGCAAAAGGGTAAAATATGATTAATGAGAAAAGCATAGGCAAAAAGAAAATGAATTTGTGGCTAATTACCACATTCATGAACTACAATCCTTATTACTACCTTGCCACTAGAAATAATACAACAGTTTCTAATACATTTATAACATTTGAAGTTTCAAATTACCAGATTATATTTGACGTGGTGAGACATTTTATTTCTGAACTGCTGCCATAAACTTTCAAAATTATACAAATGAACAACAATGTGGATATAGTTAAATCTAGTGAACTGTACACTTAAAAATGGTTATGGTAGTAAATTTTACGTGTTTCTTACCTCATGTACAAATGAATCTCTGATCATCTGTAAAATGCCGATGATAATAATTACGATAGGTCTGTTGTAAAGATTAAATGACATAATGCCTCTGAAAGCAAAAAGGATGAGTAGTCTACTGACCTTCAACATTGTTTTCCCTGTAGATAAGGTTTATGAGAGTAGTTTCAGAATTTCAGACCTAATAACTAACCTAGATCAAAGACAAATTTGAAAATAATTTTTTTGTTTATTTTTGTTGTTTGAAACAGGGTCTTATGTCACCCACGCTGGAGCACAGTTGTGCCATCATGGCTCACTGCAGCCTTGACCTTCATGGCTTCCCACCTCAGCCTCCAGAGTAGCTGGGACCACAGGTGCGTGCCACCACACCCTGCAAACTGTTTCTTCTTTTTTTTTTTTTTGAGACAGAGTCTTGCTCTTTTGCCCAGGCTGGAGTGCAGTAGCGCTATCTTGGCTCACTGCAAGCTCCGCCTCCCGGGTTCACACCATTCTCCTGCCTCAGCCTCCCAAGTAGCTGGGACTGCAGGCGCCTGCCACCACGCCCAGCTGATTTTTTGTATTTTTAGTAGAGACGGTGTTTCACCGTGTTAGCCAGGATGGTCTTGATCTCCTGACCTTGTGATCCACTCACCTCAGCCTCCCAAAGTGCTGGGATTACAGGCGTGAGCCACCATGCCCAGCCAACACCCTGCAAATTTTAAAAAATTTTTTGTTGGGCCAGGAATGGTGACTCACGCCTATAATCCCAGCACTTTGGGAGGCCGAGTTTGGGGATCACCTGAGGTCGGGAATTTGAGACCAGCCTGACCAACATGGAGAAACCCGAAAAATAAAAAAAAAAAATTAGCCTGGCATGGTGGCGCATGCCTGTAATTCCAGTTACCTGGGAAGCTGAGGCAGGAGAATTGCTTGAACCTGGGAGGTAGAGGTTGCGGTGAGCTGAGATTGTGCCATTGCACTCCAGCCTGGGCAACAAGAGCGAAACTCCATCTCAATAAATAAATAAATAAATAAATAAAATAAAATAAAATAAAATAAAATAAAATAAAACGAACGTTTTTGTAGGGATGGAGTCTCCCTATGTTGCCCAGGTTGAACTTGAACTCCAGGGCCCTAGCAATCCTCCCATCTAGGCCTCCTAAAGTGCTGGGATTACAGGCATGACCCACCATGCCAGGCCTAAAATAAATTCTTAATGTAGCACTTTTTCTGTCTTGTTTGGACTTTAAGAATATAATGCAGGTACAGCTGGCTGGGCATGGTGGCTCACGCCTGTAATCCCAGTACTTTGGGAGGCCGACGTGGGTGAATCACTTGAGAGTTCGAGACCAGCCTGGCCAACATGACGAAACCCCATCTCTACTAAAAATACAAAAAATTAGCCGGGCATCAGTGGCATGCCCCTATAATCCCAGCTACTTGGGATGCTGAGGTGGGAGATTCTCTTGAACCTGGGAGGTGGAGGTTGCAATGAGCTGAGATGGTGCCACTGCACTCCAGTCTGGGCGACAGAGCAAGACTTTGCCTCAAAAAAAAAAAAAAAAAAAAAAAAGGAATAGAATGCAGGTACTACAGTAATCCCTTGGTATCCATGGAAGACTGGTTCTAGTACCCAGTGAGTACCAAAATCCAAGGATGCTCATGGCCTTTATTAAAATGGCTTAGTATCTGCATGTTACCTATGCACATCCTCCTGTATACTTTAAATCATCTCTGGATTACTTGTAATACCTAAAACAATGCTTATACATTCCTTAATTCTCATGGATTTAAAGTGTATGGCCTGTGGCATATTCAAGTTTTGCTTTTCGGAACTTTTGGAATCTTTTTTCCCAAACTTTTTCAATCTGAGGTTAACTGAAACCATGGATGTGGAACCCACTGATATGGAAGGCCAACTATATAAACCCTTTGTGGCTCCTTTCCTAAAAGATAGGAAGAGTTCTAATTCTGCTGGAGATAATTTTTTGAAATCTGTCATGGTTTATGATTTTATTCTGTGTATGCCATATAATTGTATAGCATAAATAATGCAACATATACATTGTTATACATGATATATGCAAAAATACCTTTAAAGTTAAACTAAACAAAAAAAAAAAACCTACAAATGGGCTTTGCCTCATCTATTCCTGCTTAAAATGTGCAAAGGAATGAAGAGACCTAGCCCTAGTAATTAACACACACACTTAATTGACAGAAAGAAGACAGATACAAATGTGGTTGCCCTCTCTTGAGGAAACTCTGAGATTTGGAAATGATGATGATATGCATCATGAACCTGGAGACCTGGAGAAACTCAGAATCAAACCAAACAGTTCTATGTAGTTTAGTTCACTGTTTTAGGTCACCAGAATTGCAAGAGCAATTACTCTTCAGCTTCAAAGTTTTGGAGTTACCCTCTGGGTTTGATATACTACAACATTTTCCTAGACATGTCATAAAGATGCCATCACTATTGTAATGAAATGCCTAAGTCTCAATGACATCTACTAGCTAATCTTATACATGAGACAGATCATCCTTCAGGGTCTACTTTCACCTCTGGATTGATTAAATTTATTAAAGATCATTCATCCTTTTCCAAAAATGTAGGTTTCTGTAAAACATGTCTAAGAATTGTCCTTATCCTTAATGGCATTTAAACAATTCCATTGCTATTTAAATGGAAAAAAAAAAAAACTTTTAAAATTCAGATTATTTGAAAAACAAAGTACAATCTCATTTGAATTATGCTATTAACTGTCATAATGACTGAGTTTTCTATTAATCACCAATCAAACAGTAAGAACAGGCAAGACAACAAGTCTAGTTGGAACACTCACTTTATTGTTGACTGAGTGAAATTTATCAGTGCTTAAGGTACTGAAATACTGAGGTACTAGTCAGGAACCTTGTTAGTTGACTAGCTGTGTCAGACCCTACTGGCTAATTCACAGGAAGATTTTATTATACCTCTTGCCATTTTGCCCAAGTCATTAATGACAGCTTTAGTTGATAAATACAAGGCATGTAAGGATAGCAGGAGATCCAGCTCCTTGGTCTGCTGTATTCATATATAAAAATGTTTGGAAAGCTGAATAAGGCATTTCATTAATTAAGCCTTAAAACAACTGAAACCAAATCTATGCCAAGGTTCCTGCTTGACATGTGTTCCTCAAAAGATACTATCTCAACATATATAAAGCTAAGAAAGCCATATTTAGGGGAAAATATCATCTACACAGTATATTAGCTCTTCAACATGACAGAGAAAAAGCAAAGTTCCTTCATTTGGAAATTGGGTCTCCTCTTCACATACTCTGACAAAATATTATATAGTCTGGCCAAAAGATACAGGTGTCTTGATAATTTGCTCTTTTAAACCTTGCTAATAAAGATTAAATAAATGCCCATCACATAGACATTATCTAGTCTAATCAGATGGACCACACAGGTCGCTTTTCAGAATCTACTTTAATATCTAAACAGAGTCACTGCAGATCAACACAGAGCTCACCCTTTTCCAGAAAAGTAGATCTCTGTAATATTTCTAGGGTTTGACATCATTGGGAAGGCACAGTGCAGTATAAGAAATGAACTGTCACATCCACAGTGGCTAGCATAGTACTATGTCATATCACCAAGTGCCTTTTTAATTAGTTTCATATTCCTAGGCTTTCCTTTTGTTTCTGCAGTGCTTAATAGGAGAACTGAAGCAGAATCCAATAAGAAAGTTCTGGTCAATCGAAAGACTTTAAATCAGAAAGTTTCTTGCTGTCACTGGGTAAGAAAGTAAGGGATCAACCACAGAAACTGGACATCCAAGACATCCTTCTCTCCTAAAACAAAGTCCCACAATCCTACTGCACAAATCTAGAATCCTATAACAGGGATAAGAAAAAAATGTTACCATCTATCCCACTATCCAAAATTCTCTCAGAAGCTTAAACTAGATCGAAACCATTTTTTAAAAATCAGAGGCATAGCTTCTGCTAAATGACTACTAATCAGTTTTCCCCACATTTGCACACAATACCTTATATAGATGAGAATTTATACTTATTGAATGTAAAAATCTAAAATAAGAAAATAGTGTATTAAATCTCTTAATGTTTTTGTTCACACATTGTACATTTTCCCTTCAAAATAAAAATACTACACATGCATCCTTTATCCTTCTATCCTGCAATAATAAAAATATAAAACTTTAAAACCTTTAAATCTATCAGCATTTATAAATACAATTATATAAAACAAGTTAAATACTTTCTTTAAAGACATTTAAGTAAGTGATATATTAATAAAACCTTTTTACCATTTATGATAATATATCATTAAAATGAAAGAAAGATAC